TTTGACCATGCAAACTTATGTAAACATACTTTCAACTTAAAAATAGCAATAACAAAATCAATAAATCCATCAACCAACTTATCAATGAATTGATAGATATGGAATGTAGCCAATTAAGGTTTTTTTTTTTTTGCTACATTCAAAGACACTTAGTAACTGAGAGCTTTCAATTTATTGGAATTAAAGTATACAGGGATAAAGTTCTTAATATATAGATAGTAATGCTATTTATGCTTCTTTCCCTTTTTTGTCTTTTTGTTAACCCTCGTGTTTCATAGTCTGTTTAGAAACCAAATGCAAAATGGCTTTTTGGTATTTTCCATTCTAGCATTAAAATCATGTTTGTTTTAAATATTATATAGCTTTTTAAGGCCCTGTGTTTTTGATACCACACGCAGATGTGTTGTTATAATTATGGCATCGAACGGGTGGAGTTTAACAAAGTATTTGTGTGACATCTGATCGCCAAATTTTCAAAGAACTACATCTTTTTTTTGTTTAGTTTTTTTAACCCGCCTCTGTTGCGTCACGCAGAGGAAGATACGTCAGAAAATATTAGGAAGCGGTGGTGGCCACTATCATATCGTAAGACCAGAAAACATATACTGTGTATATATATGTATATATATATATATATATATATATATATATATATATATATATATATATATATGTTTATTTATTTATTTTGATTAGCATTTCCTTTTTTATCTCATACATTTCAGTTTCATCGTTATACGAGGATTCAGTACTAACTGCAGTTTGTTGTAAACAAATGTGCAAGATAACTCAGACAAACCAATTCTGACTAAAATTAGTGTTAAATTGGTTTAATTTTTTTTTTGGAAACTTAAATTAAAGATTAATAATAAAAGAAACTTATATAAAGCAAAACTGGCCAACAGTGGGCCAGTTTACCAAGGGTCCATATAGTCCTAAATCTATCCGGATAACCAAGAATCCCCCAAGATATAAATGAAAATAAAGCTATCAATGAAAGAAAAAAGAACAAGCAGTGTACATTTAAAAAATCTAAAATGGATTGATAAATAGGCACAAAATGGTTCCTTAAAACAAGTCAATTATAACACCAGACCAGGCTAATTGGAAAAGAAAAATGAAGGAACTTAAGGAGCCATCATAGGAGGAAAAACCCCTGCATGGGATGTACCACTGACAGATAGCTGAAGTGGCTGATATGAGCAAATCCTGCCAGTGACTAGAGAGGGCTGCGCTGAAGGACAACACAGAGGCACTGACCATGGCAGCACAGGGGCAGGCCTTGAGCAATAGAGGCCCAGTGCAGAACCCTCAAGGTCCCAGGGCTCTGGTAGAGGATCTGAGCTCAAGATAGAGGATCCAACTACCTCGCCCAGGACTATGCGGGGAGACCGTTTTTTCTAAAATATTTTTATATAAATATAGCAAGAAATATGTATCTGCTCAAGATAATGAGACGACTAAACACAGAAAAGAGAAAGAAAAAAATAAGACCTTATAAATGCATTATGCTTAATGCTTAGTTTTTCTTGCTAAATTACCTTTTCTTGAAATTATTAAATATCAATGGTAATTCATATTAATTTGGGAAATTTGTATATTTAGCTGTTGTGGTTATTTTGTTATCATTTTCATTACTTCTTTGGGTTAAGGATGCATATGTGTCACTTTTTAAGGATGATGGGTTTCTGACCTCTGTCGCCCTTATTTTTTGTATGTATGTTTGGCACCCCTTTATCCTATCTACTCACTAAAACACTTTTAAATGCAATAACGTCTCCGTGGATTTCTTGGACGAATCATCTGGACAACTTGTCTTTGGATATATTAAGGGTACGGGCTTTGCTTATTTTTGAACCCTACAATATAGTTACAGTAATAATCTTTTTCTATGCTGACATGAACACTATGAAGAGAAAATAGTGTAAGAAAAGGTGCTCACTATGTCCTCCTGCTGCCATTAAGTCTAAAGAGCAAGAGTTATCTGAAGATAATCTAAATCATGATAACTTTAACACATCTTACAACAATTTCATAAAAAACAGTTTTCTTTCATTCTAACGTGTGGTCATTTATTCTGAAAGGCACAACCGGAAACAAGCCGACGTGTTTCTCTGACGTAACAGGTCCCGGCGAAAACACAAAACCCCGGGTATTTTTCAGCTCGTCGCCGATTTCTGTGCCGGATCAGCAGTTTCTCTGCGAGTTCGGAGAGTCTGCCTCTGACTTGTTCAGATCTTTATTCAGAAATTCACCTAAAGGCCTGTTACTGCGGTTAACATGGAGAATCGTAAGCGACCCGCAGAGCCATCTGTGAGCCCGGGCGACAAGTTCCACACGCCGCAGAAGAGAGTGTCGCTGGTTCCCGTCTGGCAGCCGGATTCTGACTTCATGCGGTGGGGAATCGGAGAAACATGTCAGTACCTGCAAAGGGAAGGACTCGGAAAATGGGAGGAAATATTCAGAGGTTTGCTCTCACTTCAATCCGCTCTCCACAAAATGTGACCTATGTAGAACTTAGATGTTTGTTCTGCAGCTCATTAAAGTCCATTTGCGTTCTTTTGCTTTGTTTTCATGCAGCTGAGAAGATTACAGGTGTGGGGCTGAGGTACCTGAGGGATGCAGACCTGGAAAAGATTGGCATAAAGTAAGAAAAGACTACTGATAAAATAGCGTGGCATCATTGATGAGTGGAAATGTGTCAAGCACTTCCTCCTCTGCCTCCACATGGAGGCGTTGGCTCTCAGAGACCTCTTAACATCTGATTGTTCCCTTCAGGTGTCTCGGGGACCGTCTGCAGATCCTGCACAGCCTCAGAAAACTATGGCAGATTGAAGCAGAGGCCAAAAAGGTAAAAACAAATTCCCTCAGAGAGACTGTCAAGCAATGGCGTGACACTTGGTAACCCCCACGAAAATGTGGATTAGGACATCTCTCTGCAGATATAATGGTGCGAAAATTTCCTCTTAAATCCACCTGATACTA